TTGTTGGCGTAGACAAGCGATAATAGTGACCAACGTGCCTGTGTCCAGACCACTATCCTTATTTCAACTTAACACTTTGCGAAATACAATAAAACGACGTCCAGTAAGTCAAACATTATGATTTGATTATTTCGTGGTGAAATTCCACCTGAAATTGTCCTATTTCGCTAGGAAAGAGCTTTATTCTATGTAACCAATGCACCCAAGATTTTACCCAGAAATATATACGGCCAGTTTAAATTGAATCGGTCCTTCTGAGCCGGGTTTATCCAGATGCAGAGTTGAAAAGACCAAAACACAACACGAGGTAAAGATCATCTGATGTTTCAGTCACTTCAATTCCGCTGACAAACACTAGTAACTGATATGAGCTTTTCGAAATGAACATGGGGCTTCAGCAACATATCTTCATTGCTCCATGTTCTTTGCAATCACTTTGGACTGGATCCACAATTGCCATTAGTTTTTATCTTCACATGCATTTCTTCAGGTTACCGTCGGACGCGTAATTTGTCACTTCTCATAAGGGTTACATTTGAGATTTTTGTGCCTGATGTAACTCACAAGGTATCCTCAGTATGTCTAATCCGTCTTCATTTCTTCCTGCATATTTGGTGAGCGACAGATTCTTGATTGGTTCGTTATTTAACAGCACCTTGAATTTTATCCTTTTTGATCGACCGTCAGATCTTCAGGATGAAGTAAAGGCAGCTGATGATGTATATCTCTAATAGCCTGTTGGAAATGTTTCACGTGACGCCAGTGTCAAGTCTTTGGGCCATATTGAAGGACTCGTTGGTATAAGATGGTTGGAGGCAATCGGCCACAGGAAGCCTTGGACCTAGGTTTCGTGCTAGTTGGCACTCATCAGCAAGGCGTATCTGCAACCTTGAAGGAACTGATGTCCCTTCTGAGATTCGAACCCGCGTCACCCAGTGCTGCAGTCAGAGACGTTACCACTGAGCTATTCAGGCTCGCGACTGACCTCCTGTAGGACTGTATTGGATATTTTTGATTGAACACTAGTCAGTAACTAGTGTAATGTGTCTAGTCCTATCTTCGGTGCAGACTGAATTCTATCAGCCTGATGAGTGCCAACTAGCGCGAAACCTAGGTCTAAGGCTTCCTGCCGATTGCCTCCAACCATCTAATACCAACAATTCACAGTGCACCGTAATGGCGAGCCACCTAGCATGGTGGCCACATTGCAAACATGACTGATAGAATTCAGTCTGCACCGAAGATAGGACTAGACACATTACACTAGTTACTGACTAGTGTTCAATCAAAAATATTGAAGGACTCATTTGACAAGTGTTGAAAACTAGAATCTTATTCTTCATGCTGAGTATACAGTATATCTTCAAACTGTTTTCAGAGCAATGAAGGTATGTCTTGCTTTTCCCGATCCTAATTGATTTTAACATCCTCATAGGTGCCTGCGTTCTATCTCCCGTGTGAAGTGGTATAATAGGGTCAGAAATATTGAGGTTAGGCTTCGGACAAGTGCTAGGTAAGGAGGGGAAATCAATCGACGAGGTTGTGAAGCTACATCGATTGAGATGGTTACGACAAGTGTTACGTATGCCCAATCATAGCCTTCCTTAACAATTGACAATTTTAGCTGATATAGGGTCAGGCTGCAAAAGAGCTAGCGGTGGTCAAACCAATACATGGCTTGATCAGTCAATCAAATCCACAACAATTAGTTAAAGCCAGCTTTGCAGGGAGGTGTAGACTACTTGATTGGGGTCCTCGAGATGATAAAAATCAATAGCTGCAGACAATTGGTGATATAGCTCAAAATCGTTCTCAGTGCCTGGCGCAGATGCATCCACTCCTTGTGACTTATAATACCCAACGAAACTATATTATTCTTCGACATTACTCTTCCTTTTGTCTCATATCTCTGTCTACTGTCTCCATTTAGCATTTCTTCCCTTGCTCTGTGTGCTACAAGGAGTGGAGTGTGGCGACTTGAACTGCTGCACATCAGTGCAAATTTCTATGTTGAAAACAGACATTCAGAACATCCTCATCTGCGCCACCACTGTCTGTAATTGAAACGATGCTGCGTAGATGTGAGTGAATGGTATGTCTTGTCTAGTTTAATAGTTCACAAGCCAGTTCTGAACCATGAAAAAGAGGTGACGTTGTGTATAGGACTGGCGACACCATCCCAAAAAATCAATCTGATAGTTATAGAAATATTCAACGAGTATAAGGGCATGAAACTGATGTGCAGTCATTTTAGTTAATCTATGAAATGGCACAGTTACAAGTTATTAATAACCAGGTTCTGCAAATCGGAAATGTTTTCTAAAGTAGGCAGCGACTTGAACTTAAAATAATACAGTGTAGAGTGAGGTTGTTCACAGTTTCACATTATATCTCTTTCCTCTACTTCGGATGATAGGTGTATCTTCAGAGTGTCAAGTAAGTTGAACTCCACTGCAAAGTTCTTCGTTGAAAAGTCAAACAGTCAGTTGGTGCATCATTCCAACCAGTTGAACAACCTCATAAAGTCTTCCTTCAATAATTTTACTTCTAACACAACTATAAACAGTACTCTGTGGATGTGTATATCGGATTATGTGTGTTGTGTGTGTGTGTGTGTGCAGTTAACTTGTGTAGGCTACAAATCCCAATATATAGTCGGTAGTCAAGTAACAAAGATATTTTGTGAATTTTTACCTTTTTTGTGAACATTTATGTCCCTTTGATGTGTGTAGACAGCAGACATTTTCCAACTTTCATGCTGAGATTAAGAGTGATACACATGTGGTATCAAATTGTCTTCTTCTTTCCTCCCGATTTTTCTTATTTATGGACAAAAATTAACCATATATTATTTATATGTTTAGAAGCACATTTCTTCATCAATTCTACGTAGACAGAATACATATGGCTGAGCCTAAGTTTATTCCAAAGAAGTGTGGAGTTTATTGATACATAAGTATTGGTACAGTGATGTATTAGAACAAGACATGTAATCGAACAATACTGTTGTCTTCAATTAGATCTTCTTCGGACTTTACTCTAATTTACATAGATTTATGCATAAAAAATTTAACCAATTTTGTCATATGCCTCACGATCTGTACAGATGATTACCTGGAAAGTAAATTAGGATACAACCGAAATACTCTGGTCAAAATGGATTATCCTAGTAGATTTGTAAGGAGACAGACACATGAACACCGGGTACAATAAAGAGAAACTGACAACAGGTAAAAAGAAACAAGTGTTCCTAAAATTCCAATTTAATGTGGACGTGGTTAGTGATGTCCTATATCTGAGATTATCGAGAGCAATAAAAAGGACTTATACTGTCACCACCACCCTTTTTTTGTCATTTTTCAACCGACCAGTTATGATTTCTCAAACGAAAGACAAGCTGTCTAGCTGAATCACTTCTATGTGTATATATAAATTTAGATGCTCCTGCGGAGAAAGCTATATACGATGAACAACTGGACGGCTCAACAAACGTATTAATGAGCATCTTTCTTCATGGTTCGGCAAAGGCCGAAAAAATCTATAAGAAGTTCTATTTCGTCTCTTTTGATTGGTGGTAGCGGTCACCTGGTGGACAGCAGAAGTGCCTTTAAAGTTATCCATCGCATTCCATCGAGTCTTTCGAACGGAATTCGAACCCGCCTTCTACACATAGCCGAAGCTTTCGGAATTCGAGAGAACAGTCCTATTCTTTGAATACAACAAAAGAAGTTTGTTCTACCTTTGTCTCTCCCTTTCCCTAGATAAATTCTAATCAAAACCCTCCCACCCTTTCTTATTTTCCATTTCCTTCGTACTTTTATGATATTTATTTAAACTCTGATTATCTGTCCACTTCACCTTTAGTACTACGTGACTTTTGTGATTTGACCTAATTTATTTATTGAATTGTCTACATATACACATATTACTTACTACCTTCGTTATTCTGATCGCCACATGCATAATTCCTATTATCATTATTTTGTTCTCATTATAATCATCGTTATTACTGATGCTCAAGACTTTTAACACATTATTATTATTAGTAGTAGAAGTTAATTGGTGGATGGTAACTAGCAGTGGCTGATGAGGCCGTTGGGTGACATCGCGCGTCAGGCCAGTGCTCGAGTGGAAGCCGAAAGGGAAGCGGCGAGTGGGACGTCAAAGGGTGACATGGAGGAAATCATGTGAAGAGGAGTTAAAACAGTATGGACTGACATGGATGCAGGTGAAAAGTACAGCAGAAGACAGAAGCAAGTGGATACGTGCAGTTGAAGCCCTATGTTCTACTAGGAACCCGAAGGAACAATAATAATAATAACCAGCAGTGGAATCCAGATAGGATACGCATTTCATCCTATTTGGGACTCATCACTGGACGCACCTACATTCCGCAGTGACTGATAATGCTCTCACCGAGGCACGAACCCAGTGCCCATAGTTTCAAACGCTAAAGCATTATCTACTAGACCACTTGGGCCACCTCTTTCTTGTGCAACGGGTCGTATTAATTATTTAAATCAATTTTAGGTTTTTCCCGTCGATTGATTGAACCAGATATCGTCGAAGCATCTGCACAAAAAGCTGACATGCCAACCTGAGAGCAAGCACTTCGGTACAATCAATAGACGGGAAAATCTTAAATTGAATAAACATATTTTTTACATTAATTGATCCATAAAATAACCGTCATTGGTTAATTTTTTTATACATAAATATATGTAAATAAGAGTAAAGCCTGAAGAAGATCTAATTGAAAACAACAATACTGTTCCCCTATGTGTCTTTTTCTAATAATAATAATAACGGAAATATTTAAAGATAGTTATCCATGCAAACTGAAATGTACACTGTACTGGCACGTGTGTATAAACTGTTCTAATACAATATTTTTATCATAGTTAGTTGTGTTTACGTAGAACAGATGTTCATTGTTAGTTTTGTACAACAAAAAAGTCGTAATTAATGTGCACACACATATAAATTCTCACTTCACTTACATGCAGACCAGGTGTAGTAGCCATTAAATTTAATTCAAATGGAATACATTGACCAGGTGATAATCTGCCAAGATTTTGACGTGTTCTACCCAACCAGACTAGTGGTGATAAACCACCACCACCACCGCCACCAGTAGTTTGTCCAATAGAAGAGGAATCCAGAGCAATAGTAGCTTGATTATCAACTTGATTATCTTCATCAGTCTTCACTGACGGGATATTATCATTATTCACTGAATGAAGATTTAAAACTAAGTCCAAATTGGTTTTACTGAAAAAAGAAGGAAAGGCAAATATGTATGTGTTAGAGGACCAGTACTCCCTGTTGGTTTTCCAACGGCTCTCTAACTGATGTCAGCCCATGATCAATCCTAAAACCAGTCAAATCCCTGCGAACCAATACTTGACAATTAATATGATGCTCACTCGCGACTGGCCTCCATACAGAAGGTTATCTGAAGTTCTAGTGAGAAGTTGTAACCAGAAGGGTCAGCCAAGTCAGACAAAAGGAGAGTTACTCGCCCGTAAAATTAGCTGGCAGTTGCATTAAGCTAATATCATGAATTAGCAAAAGTTGGAATTCATGGACTAGTGGCCGAATGGTCTAAGAGCTCGCCTTGTAATCTGAAGTTCCTGGTTTCGAACCCTGGCAGTGGGTGCGTACTGTTGCAGAGTCCCAAAACTAGGAAGAAACAGCTGTGCGGTACTCTCAGGTTTTTGTTGGTTCTCTAACTGATGTCAGCTTGTGACCTACTCTGTAACCAATCAGATTACTGCAAGCCAACACTTAACAATAGTTTATGCACTGGGCACATCAACGTTCCATCCTCAAGTTTACAATAGGAACAAGGAATCAAGACGAGAATTACAGAAACTGATAGACATCTATAATAGATTCCTTTCTCAGTGATCACTATGTGGAAATCTAGTATTACGATAAACAGATTTTTCCATCATTGCTTCAGTTCCGAGTGAAACTGAGGACTTCCGGCTTGCAGCATTGATGTCGTCCAACATTCCATCTTTGCAGGGTTTACCAGCTAGTCAGGCGAGAAAATCGAATCCCGGACCACGTGTACAGTTCGTGAGCCATGTACCACTGAACCATCGAAGCATATAGTATACAGATGGTAGACGATAATTTAAAATTTAAAAAATACAATCAGTGATCAAGGTAAATTATTTTGAAAAATCGATATTATTATTGCTACCTCTTGAATATGCGTCAGTAAAACGCTACAATACTCCGCAGCCTAAGCACTCCTATACCTCGCCTAGTTTATTAGTCAATAGTAAGGTCAGAAAAGAGGAAGGGTTGGGTGTGAGGTTAGCACAACTAAACTCCGTCAAGAAGCATCGCTAGTGCGAAACTTCAAAGTACGCCAGAAAGAATAATTCCATGAATGTAATGGATATGTTAGATCACAAAGAGTGAATGCACCCATGCCACTGGAAACAATGCATAACCATGTAACCAACAACGTCTAGCTACTAGTACTTAAAGTCTCGACTGCCTCCCCTCACCTAAATGACCAGGTACGACCAAGAGTGAGTACACTTAAGTCTTCCTCACGAAATGCTCTCATGTGACCATGCGGCCTTAGCTTTTGCCAAGTGAGTATTATTCATTACCTTCATGCCGCACGGGTGTTCATCACAAACAATGAAAGGACGGATGAGAATGCCTGGCACTTGCAACCGGAATGGTAGACATGTAGGTCTACTACCTAGGGAGATTGAAAAACTCTGATGCCAAACCTATAAAGTACATGGCCTCCAAAATCCGAAAGGATCTAATGGCGTGAGAATCTGTTTAATCCACCGAAAACCATGAGAATTTAGCTCCTGACACTGCTCCACTGCCTCGTGGATCAGATTTCAAGTCAAGACAACCATGTACCCCAGTCTGGGAGCCCCAGTAGTATTCCAACCACCGCAAGAACTATGAGATTTTGTGTGGCGCATCCTTTTATTCCCGCAATGTCCCAAATTTGTTTTAAAATTATAATAACAAGAGTCAAAAGGACGCCAACCAAGTAGTAGTATACAATTTCCAAGGTGCCTTAGCCTAACAGCCGACGACTTATTGGATTGATGTTATGCATCAACATTTTTTAATGAGATTGAATGTTAAGCCAATCAATTCAAGTTAAACACTGATTTATAGTTATTTAACATACTAAAGTGCTAGTACTGTCGTTCTCGTCCAACCAACCATAGTTGGAATGACTCATTTATGTGTACTATCCGGACTGAATAATTCACATATATTTGACAGATAGAACTGGTCAGTTCGACAGTAAGTCATTAAGGAACCCTAAGTGAGGCAACTAACACGTCTGTGTATACCTCACATACCATGTTCAATTCATAACCAATATTAACTCTTTTCAAACCCGGGGTTCGGTCAGCAGACGCCATTTTTTGAGTAAAGCCAAGTTTCCTAATTTCAATTTAGAAATGTCCTATACAATGTATACTGGTAAATATATTACTGACTGAGTGATATAAGTAGTTTGATATCACTCACTCGTGCTTGCTAGTCAAATCGAAGCAACCTAAACACCGGATGGCCGCTTCGATAGTTTGGGACCATACTCATCAGTGCAGGGCCTGATTTCACTCATCTTAGATAACCATATCAGTTCAGACCACCCAAATTCTTCCTGGCTGGCTAGATATCGACGCGAAAATACTTAAGTCAACTGAAAGTACATCTAATATGCAATCATAATTCCCAAATATTGTATGATATGGATCAGATTCTACTGAAAGATCCTGTTAGATAGAAAAGTTGAAGAACTGCTAGCGAATAGACTAAAAAAAGCGTAAACATACAAGTGTAATCCAACATACCTGCAATTTACTAGTTCAAATTTAATTTTGAATGGCCGTTCTGTTGTTACCGTGGGTGGAAGACTTGATGCTTTAAGTTGAATATCACCAATTGTGGGAAGCTGTTAAAATTTTTTTTCGTAAGAACACACACAAAAACATAATGACAAACAACAATGACCTTTCTTTGCTTTAAACTACTGAACTAATTTAAGTAGTAAAAATGTGGGATGATATTACAGGACTGGACTACACTGACTCACTTCTAGTTTAAAGATAGACAGTGAAGGCTGACAAAATCACACCACGAGTACAGAAGGCTCGTTTGGCATATGACAATTTACGCCATCTCCGGCGTAGACTTGATATCCGGATGCCCACCTGTCTAAGGATGTGTGTACTGCTCAGAAGTCCGCTCCGTCCTCCTTTATGGCTGTGAGAGTTACGTGGCCATTGAAAGTGGAGGACATGAAATGGCGAACTATCTTTGAGCATAAGTGTCTGCGTAATATCTCTCATGTTACGTGGTAAAACAAGGTGAGAAATATTGAGGTTAGGCTTTGGTCAAGTGCTAGGTAGGGAGGAAAATCGGTCAATGATGTTGTTAAGCTACATCGACTGAGAGAGATGGTTAGGATATGTATTACGCATGCCTAGCCATCGCCTTCCTCGACGCTAAATGTTGGCTGATACACGATCGATCAGGTCGGGTAAGAGCTATTGGTGGTCAAAACCGAAACATTAATCAACGAAATCCACAACAGTTAGTTCAAGCCAGTCACCTAGGAAGATGTACAGTTGTTGGTTGGGTTCCTCGGGATGGGTAAAGCCAATGAAGGCTGGAGACAATCACCAATATGGCTCAAAATCGTTCTCAATGGCTAGCACAGATGCATTCACTCCTCAATGATTTATAATATCCAATAAAACTATATTGTTCTTCCATATCACTATTCTTTTAGCCTCATATCTCTGTTTATTACCTCTTTTTTGAATCTATCTTTACTCTTTTATCCTGCATTGTGTGCTACATGGGGGTGGGGTACACTGCACATATGTGCAAATTTCTACGTTGAAACCAATAAGTCAGTCAGTCAGTCAGTCAGTCAGTAAAAACACGCTCTTTATACAGATGTACGCATTATAATGCTAATTACGGATAATCATAACAGCCTATTGAGGATCAGATCATGTTAAATCATGCTAACTGAACACTGACTGACTCGTGCATGGGACTTTGCAGAGAAATACAGCAGTTCAAGTTGACACACTCTATATACCACACAAATGAAGAAAAAAAGACCCAGAGAAAAAAAAAAACAACAGATTCTAAAGAACGACAATACGCAGAAATGTGAGAAAGAAAGAATATCAACATAGAAAAACGATAGGGTTTCATTGGATATGACAGATCACAGAGAGTGAATACATCTGTGCCGTCAACAAGAACGATTTTAGGCCATACCAACAATTATCTCCAGCCATTGGTTTTTTAGCATCCAGAGGATCCCCAACCAGCCAAGCAGTTCACGCCTCCCTACGTGAACTGATGGCATGTTTTCTTTTGGCTACTGCCAGCTCCTTTCCAACCTATTCCATCCTGTATCAGTGAATATTGACTGTCGAAGAAGGCGATGATAAGGCATACGCGTAACACATTCCCTAGCCATCTCAAACGATATAACTCAGCAACCTCAGCGATTGACTTACCCTTTTTACTTAACACACTCGAAGCCTAACGTCAATATTAAGCTGCTTAACACAGAAGGTAGAACAGAGACACCTTTTCATGTCTTCCACTTTCAATGGCCGCGTTTCACAGTCATAAAGTAAATGGACATACCTTCACAGTATCACAAGGATAAAGTACCTACCTATGAGACCTATGCTGTTAACTTTGAAATCCATGCAAACATATTTTACGAAAGAATTATACCTAACGCCCACTATAATTTATGACAGTTTTCTTTTAGAATAGATAAATTACTGTACATTTATTTTAAAAAATAATAACATGAAAAATATATCAAGTTTATGATGAAATAATGTGAAAGTGACAGTTAAATAACACATTTAGTACATTTTTGTGTATGAAATAGAAACAAACCAACAATGACAACAAGTAAGTGAAGAGTATTCGTTTTGCTAAATTTACACGTAGTGATTTTTTTTTTGATTACAGCTTGATATCACACCGTATTTTTTAGTACAGGTATGGAACTTTCAGCATGTGATATCGGTAGCCCAAATTTTGCAGGCCGACCATAGATATCAGGTGTGCGTCGGCAGGGGATCGAACCCCGGACCATGTGCATGGTCGGCGAGAGTCCTAACCACTTTGTCAATAACTACTAATAGAGCCAATTCATTTATCTAACGTAGGTCTAAACCTCCTGATGAGATGCTAGAAGCACTGCCTACACACACTAGTAGATGTCTGTTAACGTCCATTTAGAAAAAATGAAAAAAAAATGTAAAAATCAGGAAAAATCTGTTAAGCTCTCCGTGAAGAGAACAGATAGACAGAAGCGCTTGCAAACTATGCAGAAGGAACGTATACCTATGTAACTTTTTACAGTTCAAAGGAGACAAAGCCACTGAATCATTTGCATGGAAACTGTGTAAAGCAACACAGCTAAAGCATTCTTCGCTGCACCACTATGTTTAAAATTCACCCCTCATTATATATATATATGTATATATATATATATATATATATATATATATATATATAATTTCAATGCATGTGAAGGATAAACTACTGAGTCTGACCACTTTAATATGCCTTTATAATTTTCACCGTTGCTTTGGAGACAGTTAAACAGGTAGAAAGCTCACATTCGCCTTCTTGAGCATTGTTCAACATAGTTGGTTCCATAATGGGACACCTTGTGGATACGGAGAACAAGATCGATAAGAATTCAGCCTTAACAATTCTATACAAAGTGCCACCTCAACTGTCTAAGTTTGTACGCCCACGATCGCCAAGCCTAAGTGACGCAGTCACCATGAAAATGTTTCAACCCAGTCTTTGTGATCAGAAAGTGCTTGTTTAACCCCTTTCCGTCCCATGGCCTTCAACCCTGGCTTAGAATAGATAGCCCAGTGACACCGCATAACAGGAAATATTATTTTATTCTTATTATTATTCTTAGTTTCACCATTTATTATAATTATTATTCTACTTACAACCACGTACATGATTCAGCTACAGTTTCCGGTCAAGCCATACTCCTAAACCTCGCTTAGCCCGTGGTAAGCGCAGCAATAATGACGGAAGTTACGGCATACTAGGCTAGCAACCCTAACTCATAAAACGAAACAAAACCACTGCTAATGAAATGCCTAAACTTAAAGCTTGAAGGCTTATGTAATAAAAGCTTTCTTTCCTAAGACTACCGATTAAAGAAGATACCAATTAGTAAGCACGGTAACCTGGAAGGTTTAAACATACTCATATCCAGGAGTATCCAGCTGTCATCTTGAAATCAACACATTAAACTAACCTTGACAGAAGAAAGGGTTCCAGCAGCTGTGTAGTTTACAAACTGGAATTGTAAGTGTACGGTCCTGGGTTCAAAGCCCGGTGGGCGCGTACTCCCGAGGAGTCCCAAAATAGGGTGGAACGGAATGCAATGCCTTTTGATGTTTCTGCTTCCCTGTGGTTCAATGGTAGAATAATGCTAGCCAACCACGCACATGGTCTGGGGTTCGATCACCAGTCGACGCATTCCTAAACCTCTCTAACCCAGTAATAAGACCGGTAAAGAGGAAAGGTTGGGTATGAGGCTAGCAACCCCCCACCAAGTCGAAATTAAAATCACTGCTATCGAAACTTCAAAGCTCTAGATTGAAGCCTTATGTTCCACCGTAAACGTAAGGGAATAATAATCTCACTTCTAAATGCAAACAAAGCTTCTCAGAATGTTCCAGAACATCTAGGAACTAATAAAAGGGATAAGGTTAATTCATCAAGACGACTCGTAAGATCGGGAAAGATATTAGGGATGAAAAATATAGTAATGGAAAAGACACTAGGTGCAACAATACATGATTAAGTTGATAGTGAAATGTGATACTGTCATCTGAGAGACCAGAAATACGATTGAGAGACTGCATTCATTTCGTTTTCATTGTTCTATGGACCATAAAGCCAGTCAATTTATTGTCATTAGACGGTTGGAGGCAATCAGTAGGAAGCCTAGTCTGACCTTGGTTTCGTGCTGCTCAGCACTCATCAGACAGAAAGGCGTATCTTCAGTCTTTAAGGAACACATGCTACCTCCAAAATTCGAATGCCTATCACCCAGTACTGCAGTCAGAGACATTACCACTTAGCTATTCAGGCTGCTGATTGACCTTCTGTAGGACTACTCTGTTGGATACGTTGATTGAACACTTACTGCCTATCAAAGCATTCAACCTATGTTTCCCCATAAAGGAAACATTTACAGCTGGAAGTTTCATCTTTCCAGTCTAGGCCTGCGTGACGATGTGCCCGTACATAAACATGATTCAGTCAATTCACATCGCGTTAAACGTTATCCTTCACGTCTCTCCTGCTAATATAGTGTTTTCCATAGTGTTTTCATTAAACTGTAGAGTTTTGCAAAGTGAACAAAATAATGTGGAACACTGTCAGTATATATATATATATATATATATATATATATATATATGCATGACATTTGCCATGATACATAACATTTCTACAATCTTTGTATAGATTGTTTCATATCAAAGTTCCCTTATGATAGAACACAATTTCTGTACTTATAGGTGAGGTGAAGTTAGAGTTTCAAGCAGAAACGCTTATTACTATTATTATTATTACACCGGACTATCTAGTTATCCAACCTGTAGGCAATGCCAAGTAAGTAATTGGGGTCAACTAAAGTTTTTCACATGAATGATGATTGCTATGCCCTTAAAATCTTAATATTTACAAAATATTTGATAAACATTTATACAGTGCAATCTTTCTGTAATCAATCGATAGAAATATGTATTCACCTTTACTTAAGTGGCATTTATCAGTAAGGTAAAAGAATAGGCACGAATGACAGACCTGGAGACGAACAATTGTGCGCTTACAAGTGAATTAGGGTATCCAAGTCAACTCTAACCTGAAGATAATATTATCCTTAATCTGATGTCCAGCCCAATCTATCCCTATCCTAAGCCCAAGCGCAATATTTTTCTCTCCCAACCTTAAACTAACTACATGTGTTTAATGCTTTTATAGTGCCTTCAACATCTGATCTAGTGATCGATATCCAGCCTGGAAATAAACCAATCAGAATTGGCCAACGTAAAATAACGCCCACACTATTCTATTTATCATGATTACAGACTAATTGACATATCTTCAATGATATTTGGAATAATTCGCCATTAAGTAAAATATATCTTGTGACTTACGTCACTGTGTGTTCTCGTTTAAGTAATTCTGGCTGGGAAAAAGGTAGCTGTCACGTATTGTTGTTGGTGTAGTTATGCGATAGTCGTTTGCTTAGTTTCAATGCCATTGTATGACTGAGCATGTGTTCCAACAGGAACATAGATCTTCAAGTACCAAACTCTGGAGTTTCAGTAGCGATAGTGTTTTTTCACGAGGTGAGGTTGCCAGCTTCACACCTAACCATGCCTCTTTGTCAGGTTTTACTACCGAGCTAGGCAAGGTTTAAGGAGTACATTAGGCGGGAATCGAACCCAGACCTTGTAGGTTGTTTGTTGGAGAGTATTCTACCACTGAACCAACAATGCATCATATACAGCTGACAAGCACCCTAGATCGCAGGAGACAAATGGCCTCCACTAGACCATATAATTTCAAAAAAATCTCACACATACATGTAGAACTTACTTCATACTTCAAAGAACTAGTCTGTAATCGGCCTCTTTCACCCATAACAGACCTCCAGGTAATATCTAAACGTCCAGCTGATATAGACAATTGATGCGCAGATGTAGAAATAGCCTCAGGAGGATTAGGTATAGGTGGTGTAGTTACCGATGATGCTGATGATGATATTGCAGATGAATTAATATACGGTAGTGAATTTGTAGTTGTTGGCATTAAACGATATAAAAATTGTTGTACATCATTCGGTTGTAAGTAGTACGTTGAAGTATTAGACACAGACCTGTGATACGAGAATAAGAGAGATGAAAAAGTTAGGCAACGTTTAACAATAACAACTGTTGTTTTCAAAAAAGATGCACTTTTATGAACTCGATAATAAAAAGTGCGCTTGTTGTGTGAACATCGATAAGATCAACCCTGATTATCTAGACCTCAGTGGATCAGAGACAGTAGAAGTAAAATTCATAACTGCTAATGAAAATTCAAATCACTAAACACTAGCACTAGAAATAAAAGCATTTCTAAAAGACCCCTGAAGACTTTCATCAACAGCTGCCTTAGCTGGCACAATGCTCAATTTTAGATGGCAGGAACTCCCGCTGACAACGAGCCAACCGAGAACTTATCACCTAACAAATATGCAGAAGGAGTCGGCACAAGCTGACAAGACGCATCAGACCTTGGTATGGAACCGGAACGAGAAAAAACGAGTTGGACATCTGAGAGTGATATGAAGGAGATCGTGTGAGTAGATGAAGCCTTGTGGGTCAATTTCGGAACCAGCTAAAAATGATTGCAGAGAACATGGTGAAATGGGGATCTGCTGATGGAGTTCCATGTTCCACTCGGAACCCAAGGGAATAAGGATTCAATCACTCAGGTAAAAATTAAAATGACGGTATAAGACATATTGCTAGGTTATTTCAGTTCTAATTCACTGATAATCCTCTTGTTGAATAGCTTAGAATTGTGCTTTTTTATTCACTCAACGAAAGATATGATTACAATCCAGTGTATAAAGTTTGAAAAGCTTCATATAACCCTCAAATTTCCTGTTAACCAGCACAGACTTAAAACAGCAAGACTAATTATGAAATAGTGCAAGAATAATCAACATCCAATTACATTTCCATCAACTACAGTTACTTAGTAGCGATTTTCGAGTAATTATTATGGTATTATCATTCTCTTGGGTTCCAGGTAAAACAATTCACAAGCTTTCGTCTCCTTCTGATACACTAATGATGAATGTCTGGAGCCTGTTGGAAATACTTTCGTTCCATTTTCGCTACCAGCCAGCCTTTTCAGCCAACTCGTTAGTCCTTACACATATGTCATCAGTAAAATTCATATCTACTAGAGTCGTCCTGTCAGTCCAACGTATATCCACCTTATCGCTTCCCAAAAGCACGTGGCATGGTTCAGACTACCACAATCAGGAATATCGTCGGTGATAGTAGCCAACCTTGTCTTACCCATTCTCCGTTGTCAATCGCCTGACATGTAACCTCATCATATATCTCAAGAAGAGGTTGATAAAAAATATGGGTAGTTTCCAAATCCCTTCGTGGTCAACGCTGTCAAAAGCCTCTTCAAAGTCGATGAATGTTCGATGATGATGCATAAGAATGCAATTTGATGTGAACATGATTTGGCTATCCGGGATCCAGAGCATCTTTCAGTCTTTCCAGGATGATGTGACTAAATATATTGTCTGATGTGACAGGAGTGTGATTTCTCACCAGTTTATGTAAAGGCTTAAGTCGTCCTTCTTCGGTAGCCTTCCTTTCAAACATTTCGCTATGGTGTGGCGTGAACATATCCTCTGCCACCTCTGTGTTGATTTTCAGTGCTTCCAGGAGCATTCCGTCTGGTATCCTGTTGCTGAGTAATATATATATATATATGTATAGGTAATTATTTTTGATTTCAGTCAACACAAGGGCCACATTTCTCACCTTAAGCTAAAAACATACCTGAAGTTAAATATTTCGTCTTCATAGTAGTGAGTGTTAACATCACTGAAACTACTTGACTAAGCATAGAAAATGTTTATTTCTGATCAAAAGGTCCGAAAATACAGAACACATTCTTAAGCGGATTTCAAGTGGGAATAATTCTTTTGCATCACATATTGTTAATAAAGTGTATACTTCTAATGTAAGTCAGATGTTAAACGTTTCTGTATGCTCAAGTATTGGTTTTTGTAGGGATTTTATTTGATTGGTTGGAGGACTTCATCATGAACTGACATCAGTTAGAGAAACGTTGGAAAACCAGCTGGGAATACTTGAGAGCTGTTTCGTCAGACTAGTTTGACACTCTTCAGCAGTGTACACCCACCGACAAGGTTCAAACCCAGGACCTTCTGGTTACAAGGAAAGTTAGCTAGTAAGACTATTAAGCCACTGTGACCCGATCCAATGGACAGCCCATGAAATCTAACTTCTGCCAATTCATGACATAGTGCGACCATTTCGCAATGTGCTCTGCGATGAGTTACTGACTCGCCTTCAACCCGCTACACTCCACTGGTAACGGCTTCCCAGTAGAATCCCAGGTTAACTGCTTGAATATGGCCAGTCGCTAGTGAGCATCACATCGTGAATCGGTAGAAGTTAGAACTCATCGACTGGTCATTGGATCGGGTCCCAGTGGCTTAATGGTCTGCGAACCAGACGGTCGTGGGTTCGAACAGTGTCGGTGGGTGCATACCGATGAAGAGTCTCAAACTAAGACGAAACAGCTACCCAATACTCCCAGTTTCTGTACGTATTAAGTTATGATACACCCTTATTGTTACTCTACGTGCGTGTGTGTGTGGTTGGCCAAGTAATGATTTCGATTGCACAACAGGGAGAAATACACTTAAACTTTTCTACTTCATAATCCTAAGTCAAAATTAAAAAAAAACTGTAGAATACGATCACATTTAACAACTCTTTAGCTGATATTGACACATTTAATATCAAAACCTTATTAAGATGTGTGAAAATTTTCAACTGCCTATATAAATATATTTCAGAGTTATATTTATTTCTTTCCTCGCACTTGACATTGAGTGTTTTTAATGTTACAACTACACGAGTGGGCAGTTTTTCACCCTACATATCAATCCTCATTTTATTTTAATATGATTATAAATATACTAATAAAATTGACTCTTAGTGACTTCAGAGGCTTAGGGAATGACTTGTTACCAGGGGACAGTCACGCCGACTTAGAGTATGCGGATAATGATATTGTCCTCGTAGGTGAAGACACTAACGAAAATGCACAGCTATTTGAACACAGTGAGCAGTAATCTTCGAATGTCTGACAGGCGATTCATTCCTTTCAAATTTAAGATGTTGCTGTAGGACTAGACTACTATCAGACCATATAAAGTTCGTATGGTATCTGATAACATATACCATTCCTGGAGTAGACGTGATATCCAATCAACAACTAAAGTGCAGTGTGTATTGCTCAGAATTTCTCTCTGTCTTCCTTTAAGCCTATGATACATGGCCGTTGAAAATGGAAGATATGAAAAGCCTAGTTGTCTTTGACCAGAGATGATTGCGTTCTCTCTCCCATGTTAACTGGTATAATATAATCGGCAGTATTGCGGTTAGGCGAAGAGAATTAGGTAAGGAAGTAAATCGATGGAGGTTGCGAAGCTACATCAACTGAGATGGTTAAGAAACGTGTGGCGAATTCAGAGCTATCTCTTTCGTCCTCAAGCAGAGTTGAGTTAGAAAAGAGTTAGGGGTGGTCAAACCAGTGAAGCGTACTGCCGATGATTCCCAAACTAGGATGAAACAGGTGTCCAGTACTCCCTGGTTTGTTTTCAATAGTTCTCTAACTGATACCAATCCGTGGTCAAACTCGTAAAAACAAAACCTGACAGTCAATGAAGCTTTTGACAGTTAGTTTGAGCCCAGCAAGAGGCTGTAAACTGGTTTATCACAAAATTTTTAACCTATGAGCAACCAGTTCGTGTCCCATTCCTCTAATTCCAGCGTCATCAACACACGGGTAAGTGTGGCTCCTAACCTTGTACACGGAAAACCTGTTCCGGCAGAAAAAGCTGTCTCACTTCTGCACAGATTTCATCATGAACCGGAATCTCTTATAGAACCATCAGGAACCAAGAAGCAATATAGGTGCCTATTTCATCTTAGTTCGGTACTCTTCAGGAGGATCGGACCTACGACATTAAGGTTGTTTAGCTATTAAGCCACTGAGTGAGAATCCAATAACTCGCAAACTGTTGTCAACTCTTCTTTATAAAGCGACTCGAACTGATACACATCGATGCAAAGTTCTATGTTGAAACCAGTCAATCAATCAGTCATTTTCTTATTATCTCCTAGACTGTGTATTCGCATCTGTCTGTTCTCAACATAGAACTTTGCACTAATGTGCGGCAGTTCAATCCGCCACACTCCATTTAGCACACAAAGCAAGAGAAGAAATGCATAATATAGGCGGTAAACAGAGGCGTGAGACAAAGGAATAGTAAGAAAGAAACAACAATATGGTTTCATTGGAAATCATAAGTCACAAGGAGTAGTAGTATATTCGCATATCATATATTGGTTGACTTGATCCTTATTATTTGTCTTTAGCATTGTTTAATCTCTAATTTTAAAGCTTATCTTTGTGTACATTGATAATGTGTTCTACCATGCGGCTTCGTTTGAGTAAATGGAGGTCAATTCTGATGTTAGACTGTCCGCTGAAAGCGTTGGTGTGTGATTCTTGTGGAAAGAGCTTTTGATCTCTCCTTGGTGTAAATATTCAACTTGATTCTGTGTATTTAGACTGTGCTGCCTAACAGCACTGTTGAGGTTTATTTTGAGTTTTTGGTATTATTACTGTTTATAAGAACCCCAAAATTATTGTCCAATAATCGTCTTTTTCGTGGTTTTGAGGAGTTTTGTGACTGAGCGTGTTCCAAGGACATTTTGCCAGCTATATGGTAGAACTCAGAAGTCCGTTTCCTGCGTTCACACCATAACGAGTAGGTTTGGTTCACTACAACTTACTGCCTATTATTTGTCTTTGTTTTATTGTCTGATCTCTGATTTTGAATGCTTTTCTTTGCTGTTATGCGATGGTACTGGCAATAACAATGTGTTCTTTTATGACTACGATTTTGTTTGAGTAAGGTCAGGGTTACTTCGTGCAATGACTATAATGACTTTTGAACTGTCTGTGAGAAAAGTGTTTGTTTCGCTTGATTCTTCCAGAGTTCTTAGCCTACCTTGTTGTATTTGGGAATCCTTTGATCGA